CAAAAACATAAGCATAACACATAAAACAAAAATGACCTGGATTTTTCTCCTTGAAAATATTGCACAGAAAAGGAATGGAAGCATACGACTCCACTGCACTTCCTCTCATTGATGCTATCGTGTATCGGCGAGTCATTCGTGCTTTGTAGTAACTAATCTCGACACCATGCTTACCATGCATTATAGACCTCAAATCATTAGGACACAAACGATCCGCAAGCCCAATGCTAAAATCGCCCTTTAAAAACTCCGAAACAACACGACTATTTGCTTGACAATGCTCAGCACTAACAACATCAAGTGAACAAGTATGTTCCTTAACATACTTCTTCACTGCCCAAACATTACCATTTGAAACCTTAGCAGCACGCATCTTCCAAGTACAATTCTTATTCTTACAAACCAAAACATAAAATGAATTATTAGATCTTTCAGATTTAAACTCAAAATGCCTCATAATAGCAATTACATGCATGATTTCTTGAGAACCTACTTGCTCATGAATTGATTGCCTACATTCACATCAAAAGACATAGGCAGCTTGGAAATATCCAAATCTTTAATCAAAAAATTATTCATCACAACATCAATATCATCTTCAAATTGACAAACGGAACCATCAACATTAGAAGAAGACGCCTCATCTCTTGAACTCATAAAACAACATGAAGAAGAAGTAGATCCCACTGCACTAACATAGCTACTAACGAAATCTATTACCAACGGGTATCCAAGAGCTTCCTTACTGTGTCGAACCAAGTTTAAAAATAACTTAACATCATCATCCCTCTTTAGCTCCGAAACCATTTCAATGAGGTCCTTCAACTTTCTTCCCATAAAAAGTAATAAAGAATGAACACCAGCATTAAAACCAATCAACTCAAGATGCAGCTCCTCACATAAACACTCCTGTAAAAACTTCAAAGAAGCATCCTCCGGAATAAAAACTGATTGGAAACCAAAATTTGTATATTGGTTTTCTAGACTCCATTTTCCCCTATAAGCAACAATGACTGAAATAGATTGCATGCCTACAAACATATTGCAGGAACACTGTCACGTTAAAAATGCATAACCGAACAAGTTATATAAAAAAAACTATCAATTGTGGACAATAACTAGTCAAGTTATGTCCCATAACTGGACAAGTTATAAAAAAAACCATCAATGACTGAAACAGATTGTATGCCTACAAAAATTAATAAATTACAAGAACTATATTCAATCCTAAAAATATTAAAAAAACCGAAATAATGCAAAATGTGAAAACGAAATTACAACAAAAAAAATAAAAAATAAAAAACTAGAAACAAAGAATGCCCAAACCTGTTGTTCGGTAAAAAAATCAACGGAGGACCTGCTCAATAAACGACCGGAAAACAGCAAAAAACACAAGATTAATGGACAAAAGATAGAGAACAAAACCGAAATAATCCAAAAAAAAATGAAAACGAAAATACAACAAAAAATAAAACTAGAAAACAAGAATACACAAAGGCTGTTGTTCAGTAAAAATAACCGGAACAACTGCTCAAGAATGACCGGAGAAGAGCAAATCCAACGAGAAATAGAACGAACGACCGAAAGACGGATCGGCGCCAGTGAAAAGCTACATGAAACTAGAGAGACAAACCTTTTGTTCGGTAAAAATAACCGGAATAGCTGCTCAAAAATAACCGGAGAAGGAAAGAGAACGACCGACCGCCGACGGATCGTCACCAGTGAAGAGATGCGTGAAGCTAGAGAGAGAGAGAGCTGCGTGTATTGTACATCTAAGAGAGAGAGAGAGAGAGAGAACGAGAGGATTGAAAGAAAAAGAAAAGAAAAGAAAAAAAGGGTAAATTTGGAAATTCAAAAATTATGGCCTATTAATTTCTATAACTAAAAATTGGCCTGTTTACTTCCTTAATCTTTTAAGATTGGCCTATTCTGTACTATTTTCCTTAACTAATCATATTTAATTCTACACATATGGCCTTCTTCTTCTTCTTCTTTTTTTAAAAAAAAAGAGAAATTACATTTAATTAAAAATTGATAAACAATCATCTCAATACATATTGTTAATGACTCATTAAAGAGACGAACGCATGTCTGAGGTCTAAAAATGGGAGAACATCTCGACACACTAACAATGAGCACACATATAGCTTGAATTGAAGAATCTCCTCCCATCGAGATAGGCTTTCGAGCGCTGGAGGGACAGATCGCCAAGCCCCATAAAGATGGAACATCAACACAATATAGAAAAAATTATAGCCGAACCAAGACAACCCTATCAGGAGACATACAAATGGCCTTAAACCGATCACCAAAACCTAACAAAAAATAACAAAACAAATGGGGATTGGGTAGGGAGACCACTGTCCTTATTACAAACACAAAAATTACATAAAAAACAGAAAAAACCTCCGACCACCGCCATTAGAAGCCTCTGGTGAAGGACAATCGACCAATGGAGTCGAGAGAGATAGCTAGCCAAAAGATCTCAACTACCAAACGACAAACCCACCTGAAAACAAAGCCCATTCGTTCGGCTTCTAAGCTCCACACCAGTTTAGATCCACTCAAATGGAGCTACCACACCGTGCACCGCTACCGCCAACGAGAAGCTCACGATTAGGCAAGCCAGAGGACCTAGTTTCATGGCCGGAGCCCGACGACGCGTCTAGAGGCAGCCTTGAAACTCTGGCAGTCATTCACTCTTTTTTCTTTGTTTTGTGTGTGGGAGAGAGAACGTTGACTTGACTTTTCTTGGCCTTCTTCTTGTTAATAGTATTTCTTAAACGAATAATATTAGAAATACCAACTCTAATCTCAACTTATGTGTTAATTTTTAAATTGTCACTCTATGATTAATAAGAACAATTTATTGATATAACAATTTTTTGAACACATATTAATTAAATAATGATTACTGGAGTTGATATAAAAATTAATATTAAAGTTAATATCCCTAACATTATTTTTTTAAACATCTACATTTAATGTTGGATGTCCACACAGCTCATATAGGTGAATGAATGGATTTGGTTATGATGTGGTATCCACATTTATTAACACACTTTATAATCCAATTATCAGATTAAGAGGGGCACAATTCTAAGAGGAAAAAAAAAATACAAACAAAACTAAAGAAAGTTTATTCCTCAAAACCGGCACACAAATATTCTCTACAACTTGATCACACTGAGCATACTATCTAGGCAGTCTAGCTTTAGGCTATCAAAACACTCATTGTCTAAATTTCTAGGAGCTAGGAACTCATTGTCTAAATTTCTAGGAGTTAGGAACTCATTGATCACTCCAATTCATTTTGTTTCCTTGGTTCTCACACAAATTTTCACCTTATTACTTTTACACAAAGGAGACAACACCTATTTCTAGGCACCCAAGATCACTTAAGCTAAAAGACAACAACAAAAAAATATGAGGCATTTGATAAGTGAGCATATCTCTCATCACATGCGAAATTATTGCAAAGTTATAGAGTTTATGTTGACTCCTTATTTTTGAGCTATTGCTTCATAAACAAGTAAATTGGATGGAGGATTTGAATCCCACAAATTCTGCTGGTTGCTATTTTGGCCACAATTAATTCCCTAACTTCAAGGACCAAAAACATCATGTAAAGTGATGGAACTTGGAATGATGGAAAGAGGAGAGAAGGAAGAACATGGAAGGTTCAAGTCCTTTTTATTACCCCAAGAATAATAGGGGGTAAAAAAACATCTCAGGATCGAAAAAAAAAAATGAAGCAGTGAAAGACAAAGGCACCAAAATCTCATGTGGGTCTTTGGAGTTTGGACCATTAAGAGAAAGAAAAATAACAATCACAAGAGTGAATACTACGTGATTAATGATATATGGAGTTACGTGTTGCGTATATAGCAAGGATTTACATGCATAACCATTTGGTGCCCGACGCACAAGATCATACAAAAACAGTAGCATTTGCCTCTTGAACTCCATGCAAAACTAACCACATCACAGTATTCTTTTCCTAACAAAACTAGTGACACAACATTAGCTCACAATTACGTTCAAGAAATTATATTAGTACAAAACAGCTTTTCGGATATATTGGATACTAATTAATAAAGGATTAGATATGGTGCTCTTGTCTTTGTATGATTGCTGAATAACTATAATCACTAGATGCATCCTACATTCATGGTGAAGATTAATTGACTAACTTTTATTTATTTATTTTTTTCCAATTTGCAACCAGCTAATTCAAAGTTTCAGGGGGGGCAAAAAAGACTAATTCATAAAGAGGGAGTGGACATTGATATGTAATGAGCTGATGAGAAGAAAACATGAATTGAAATGGATCCCATTATTCCCTAGTGATTACAGTGGGGTAATTATAAATGTATCTTCTGTAGTTTAGCAAGAAACACTTCCATGCACCCATATTTTTAGAAAAGCTGCAAAAATAGTTTTTTATTTTGCAAATAACATAAAAATTTTCTTACTATGGGGAAATGATCAAATTGTAAGAGTGGAATCTATCAATTAAAAGACAAAATAAAAAAGAGCTAGTTGAAAAAAAAAAAAAACCAACTAACTGAATTAGAACACAATTGAATTCGAGTCTCCAACAAACTAAAGTTTAGCATTGCAATCCACTATAATAAACAAACTTCATAAAACCATCTAGAAAAATAAATATACATATATTATATAATAAATACATATATATAATTCGAAATGTATGGATTTTGCATATTGAAAAATCCTCATTCCGTAACATTCGGATTGTGAAAATTCCAATCAATTGCAAATCTAATAAAAAGAACAGGTTGATCAAATCCATTGATTACGTGGACACCTCTAATGAGTATACACAATCTTCGAGAATAAACTGAAGGGTATTATCGAATAGTATCAACTTTTATTTAGGTGAAATATTCTGTCTCATCTTGTTTAGCCACCATTAAATGGAACATAAAACCGCCAACTTACCAACAAAAAGAAAAGAGAGAAAGTCGGCCCTGATATTTTCACTATCTTTATTTGACAGATAGAATTGACTTTTATTGAGCCGGAGAGTTTTATTACATGGATTATTAGTAGAAGCTAGCTACAAGGGACATTTTCCTATGCATTAGCCAACACATTTGCTTTTTGTGGAATACTGGGCAAAAAACAGTCACACAGGAGAAAAATTTTGTAGAAATAAAGAAACCTTATTAGAAAGGCATAGAGAGAGCAGAAGTATATACACAAAACACTTCCTTCTCGGAGTTGAGATTCTTTTCTTTGTAGCCGAGACTCTCAATTCTCATCTCACTTGAGCTCTCTATTTGGAATAGGATTTTTGAGAACCAAAATGGAAATTAAACAGTTCTTTCAGGGTTGAGAAATGTTCGAAATAGTATGAGAAATGGAACTTCTTTGCACTGTTCTTTATTTGGGAAATAACTTCCCAACGTGCTGCCTGATATCAAGCAGCCAAAGCTCCTGAGGATGGTTCAAGTTCTGCTCCAAAATTGAAATTCATATTGTCTACCATGAAAAATACGAGGAGATAAATTGTGTTAATAAGTGATTTTATATGTATGATAATATGATATGAAACTCAATGCATCTTGAAAGGATTAAAAATGATGTTACTGCAGAATCATAAATTCTTCCGTTTTTGTCCAATAAATAATATTCAAGTACTTGAAACGTTCACGAATTGAATGAGACCATCAATATAACCAGAGGGGCGGCAATGAAAGCGATAATAAATACAGAAGTTGGCAAATTGGCATTGACTTACTAAGTGGTGTTTTCTGAACAAAGAAGCATGCAGCAATGATGAGGTAGCACATGAAAAGAACCATTCCTTTCAAGTAATGTGAAGTTCCATCCTGCAAAAATTGTAGAGTTGTGTGCTTTAAATAACTAATGGTAACAATTTTCAACATACAAACTGTAGAGGTAGAATTTAGGATTATTATGACCCGTGCTCCTGAATATTAAGGTCATTTTCAGTTTGCTCCCTAAATTTTAAAAACTCTCATTTTCTCTCATGAGCTTTGAATTACATAACTCTTTTTGTTGTAATTTTTGTTAAAAACTAATAGAAAAAAAGAGAGTAATGCAATCTTGTGGTGTTTCTGTTTGAATTTCTATTAAAAACAAAACATATAAGAACCACATGGCAAACACTTAACCTCCTTTTTTGGTCTGATGTTAACAGAAATTACAACAGAAGGGGTTACGTGAGAACAATTCAAAGTTCAGGGGGCAAAATGAGAGTTTTTAAAACTCATGTGGCAAACTAGAAATGACCCTAAAGTTCAGGGAGCTTTAGTGATAATAATCTTAGAATTTACATATATCATTATGATAAATCTTGATTAGAAGGAAGACCTGTAAAGTAAAAGCAGTGATAATTATGGTGAATGCAAGAGAGCCAGTTTCAAGGAGGCTGAAATCAAGGTCCATAGGAACGTGCATGATCCAGGCAACAATCACACTTAGAGGAACCTGAATTAACAGATAGTTTATGTTATTTCTTGGGAGTTTAAAATATTTTTTTGAAGAAATTTTTAATGTTAGTTTTGGATAAGAACTTGAATCGTACCACAAACATAGAAATTTGAGTTGCAGATCCCAAAGCAACCCCTAAAGAAATATCCTACATATGATAAAACCCAAAAATTTGTATTAAATTCAAATTAAGTAAATTTACTTGACACTGTAGTGAAAACAAAAGGGTGTTAATGTGACATACCAACTTGTTTTTTAGAGCAAAAATGATTGATCCAGCATGTTCTGCTGCATTTCCAACAATAGGTAGCAAAATGATGCTGATAAAGCTAACGGAGATGCCCCATGAGCTTGATGCAGCCTAATTCAGAAAGAATATTTCATTTAATCGGCTTATTGAGGAGAAAAAAAAAAAATCTATTACTAAATTGATTTTTTCTTTTTTTCAATGAACAAAAAAGTGAGGCTTTGCATACCTCAATTGTACCGACAACATACTCAGACAACAAGGCTATGATAATTGTCATACCAACCAACCAACTAAATGCACTCCAAAATCCTATTGCTGCCTTTTCTTCCTCTTCATCTTCCTGTATTGATGGCATTAAAACAAGGGTGTCAATCATTTAGGCCTAAAGATTGCATTTTCACAAAGGCTTCAATATCAAAGTGATGAAACTAGCCTTGTTGTAATTAGCATGAGTATTGATTATATTTGCGTTATACATGCCTAAGTTCCATGAGAGTCGTGCTTCGAAAAGTTGTACTAATTAGAAAGTGTTTGCGATTTTATACAAACTAAATTAGCAAACAGTGCAAGAGTACGATGGCATCCAAGTAAGACCGATCTAGATCTCACGGCTAAGGGTTGAGAATGGATAATTGCGACATATCAAACGGTCAATAGTATTTGGTGACGTTAGACAATAAACTTCATGATGAAACAGACAAATACCTAATAACATACAAAAGGAAACCGCAAGTTCACGCCTCGGTTTGTCACTGGGGCTGAGCCCCACAATTAGGTGGGGGCCAAGCCCCGACCTCATATATATTTGTAGGACTGTCTACTAGTGAATAGGAAGTGGGTCTTACATATTTGTAATATTGTCCACTAATTACTAGGAAATTAATGAGTCGTACACAATATGATTTTACATATGGGTTCTATCTTTTGGTAGTTGTGTTGTATATTTTACCTAGTTATATAGATTAAGGAATCTGTAAATTATCCTATTTTTAGCAATTTCAACATTTGACATTTTTCCATTAAAAACTAAGACAAAAAAGCGACTGTTTTTTCTCCCCTCAAAAGAAGGGAGAGAAACAGCAACATTGTGTCTTCTCACTGTTTCTGTGGCTTATAGAAGAAGAACCAGTGAGCATATAATTACTTGCACTCGATCAAGGCCTACGTAATCAATGAGACAATATATGAACTAATTCATTGTTTTCTTGTACGTTATTAACTTGTTTTTCTGGGGAGTGGTCTTATAGAAATTGTTATGTATAATTAATTAATTAACACTAATGATCACCTCTTGAGCATCAAACAACTGGCGATGTGTTTTTAACTGGAAGAAGATATAGGCTACATAGGCCACAAGCATAAAAATACTGCTTGCTCTTGACAACTGAAGCGTATAATTGGCTACATATATGCCAGGCGTTGCGGCAAACTTTAACATCATAGGCAACATGTGGCACAGCAATCCCAGTAGCAGAAGAAGTGCGTTCACATCCGCTTGTTTCTGTCAAAAGATAATGTCAATTTTTAGAAAACATGCAATATGTAATCTCTCTCTATAAAAGGCGGATCCCAATGTCAAAGAGACTCCCGTACTATAACAGACTCATGGAAAATGTTTGAGTACCGCCACTAATTAAAAGTGGGCCACACCTATAGATCCCATATCACAGGATCTATCTTCAATTAGCGGGTGGTGCTCAAATGCTGCTACGTTCATACATATATATATATATATATATATATATATATACACGTGTTTGTATGTATCGAGATGTCTTACTCTATCATATCTTTGCTCTTTCTTCAGGTTGGCAAGGCCTCCGCAGAGAAGAGAAGTGCCGAGAACAAGGAGGAGGTTTGAGATAATGGAACCCAAAAGGGAGTACTTGACAACGTCAATTTTCTTTTGGTGAAGAGCAAATAGTGCTATTATTAGTTCTGTTGCATTGCCACATGTTGCGTTCAATAATCCTCCAACTGCAAATCAACATATATATCAATATATATACATGCATGTTTTAATATATAATATGGATGAGATAATTGGCGCGTAAAACATGTGTATATATATACCTGTTGGACCAGTGAAGTATGCAATTTGTCTGAGATTTTTCGTGCATGGTAGAGAAAATATGGAAAACAAAAAATATTATTAGCAAATTCATATTCTCTCATAAAATACAATTAATAATGTAAACGTAACGCATAGGAGTGAGTTACATATTACATATAAAGCTTACTCAGTAAGGAAGCTGACACGTTCAGCAAGTGGGGTGAGTCCAAGCAAACTCAAAGCAAAAATCCATGGCTATGGGAAACAAATATTTACAAAACTTATCGATAAAAAAAAATACCAAATAAAGAAGAATGACAAAAAAGAAAAGGAAAAAAAAAAAGCAAATAATTGATTATTATCAATTATTTGATATCTTTAATACGGAGACCAATAATATAGTACTTACTCTACCAAAGTGATAAAAATCGGCCGCAATCGCAAGAGGAATGGCAGGGAAGAGAATAGCAAGTTTGGTGCCGAGTATCACCTCTTGCAAATTGGTGAGGAAGTCTCTGAGCATTTGGAACCGAAACTTCGAAATCAGAATCGGGTCCGATTTCTTTCGAAGCAACGACGACGACATGGTTTGCGGTGTTCTTCCATTCTTCCCTGCCACAAAACTGCCCTTAACATTATAATCACTAATGCCATTTTCTATGGCGTTAAAGGCCTGAACAAGATCGTTTGAGCCGTCCATGACGAGAACTTCCTCTTAGTTGTAAAAAATGAACCAAGAAAGTATTAATCTCTCTCTCTCTTTCTCTCTCGGTTAGATCTGCCAGAGCTTTATATATAGAGGGGAAAAAAAAGGCGAAAATATCATGGCAGCAAAATCCCTTCTCGTATGTAATTGTCTAAGATAGTGTGGAGGTAGTTTCCTGGAATTTTCCCTGCCTTTGTTTGATTTTGCATGAAATTACACGTACTTGTTTTGCACTGCCACATCGAAGTACTCCTATTGCTGTTTTGGCTTCCCGGTGTGGAAGTTGGCAAATTAATGTATGTATCAGTTATATATTATATTATGCGTGTGCTTTTTTAACCCAATCTTTATTGAAATATTTTAACATTTACCCTATGAGGGTGGTTATGAAATAAAAAAAATTAAAGAAAACAAAAACCCAAATTAGGGAAAGGGCGTAAAATTCACCATGTAAACTATTACGTACAAGTGGCATGCATATAATTTTTTTTTTTTTTTTTTTCACCTTTCCTTTACGCACAACGGTAATACTATTGTTAAGAAAAGGAGAAACATAAATTAGGGGTGAAAAGAGGAATCATACAGTAATTGCCTTTTTTTGGTTACTCCAACTCATACGATACGCGCAATTCCAAACCCACACTCTAACATGCTCTTATACTCCTCTTTTTTGGAGTTTATTTAGGTCCCGTTTATTTCGTCGATTCGAGTTTTGCTATAGTAAAAAGTTCTCAGAAACAATCACATTTAACTTTTTTGCTACAGTAAAAAGCTCTCACATAAAGTCACATCTCAACTCGAATTATAAACTCGAATCAACGAACTGAACAGAGTTTGGATATAGATGAAAATCTGACTATTTGATGCACAATAACAACTTGCAAGTTTTTGTGCTTTAACATGTTAGCACTTTTTAGAAACGGGATATTTACCACTTTATACCATGTGTTTTTGGATTTAATCAAAAATTATGCTTTTAATTTTTGATCTCTTCAAATATGTACTTTTAATTTAGATTTAATACACAAATTAATCTAAACCTTTCCACGATCAATCCTCAATTTTAACTTTAAAAATACCTAAAATACTCTTAAATTAAAAAATGGTTAAGCGAAAAAGAAACTAAAAAAAGTTTAAACTTATAATTTGGATCTCACAAATATACAAAACATCCTTGAAATGAGTGTTTTGTGATTTCCTATTTTATTTTTTGTAATATTGAAAAGTCTTAGTTTTGTTGTGTTTTAATTAGTTTTAGTTTTTTTGTGTTTTAGTTTTTCGATAGGAGTCCAATCTTGTAATTTTTTTTGTTTCTCTTTTTATTTTTGGATCTTCTAACAAAATAGAGACATAAAAATAGTTGTGTAGAGACGACAATCGTTGAGAGTGCAGAGGTGCAAGATAAAGATAACAATCGTCAGGGAGGTGAGGGAAGAAGGTGTTTGGACGCAAAACAACAACCGTCAAGAGAGAGAAGGACGCTGGGACTCTGAGAGGTCAACTATCAAGAAGAGAGAAGAGAGAAGAAGACGCAGAGGCGCTGGTGGAGGTGCATTGCGTGGGTTTGGAGGCTCTTGGCCTGAGATAAGAAGCTTGAATCATGGAGGGGTGATAGGGTGGCAGAAGAGGGGAGAGAGAATAGGATGTTAATCAGATTTAAGATAGATGGAGGGGCGGTTTCTGAGCAAGATTAGATGGAGGAGGAGACATATGATGTTATGGTCTATGAGGATTGAAAAAAATTACATCTAACGGCCCGTTTAGTTTGCTGATTCAAATTTTTAATTCGAATTGAGATGTGACTTTATGTGAGAGCTTTTTACTGTAGCAAAAAAAAAGATTAGATGTGACTGTTTCTGAAAACTTTTTACTGTAGCAAAACTCGAATCGGTAAAATAAACGGGGCCTAAACATTCTTTATTTGAGTTGCGGGTACATTTGTAATTTTAACTATGTGTAAATCTTGATTTCCATGTAAATAGTTTATTTACTAACCCTTTCAAAACTTTGGCCTATTAATTTTTATTACTATTTTAGTTTAGTCTATTTCCCTTAATCTCCCTTATAAATTATAGGGGAACAAGTTTGAAGATAATTGAAAAGATTTATGGGATAAAAAGTTGAATAGAGTCCATTAGGCTAATTGATTACTCCGAGGGGTCGAGGCATCTCTGCCTCTGTTTAGTTATATCCAACCGATTAAATAAGAGAAAAGGAGATATATATATATATATATATATATATACTTTTTTAAATTGCAATATGGGTCTTGATTTTTACCAATTATTTTTTATTAATACCTTTTTAATCAAATGTTATATTAGTCAAAAAGATATTAATCAAGAGTAAGAGGTAAAAATCTAGACATGTACACTTAATTTCAGTAAATTTCTCATTAAATAAAATAAAAGCTAGCTAATTGACAATGTTTTAATTAGTTTTAGTTTTTTTGTGTTTTAGTTTTTCGATAGGAGTCCAATCTTGTAATTTTTTTTGTTTCTCTTTTTATATGATGTTATGGCCTATGAGGATTGAAAAAATTACATCTCCGTTTAGTTTGCTGATTCAAGTTTTTAATTCGAGTTGATATGTGACTTTATGTGAGAGCTTTTTACTGTAGCAAAAAAAAAAAGATGTGACTGTTTCTGAGAACTTTTTACTGTAGCAAAACTCGAATTCTAAACTCGAATCGGTAAAATGAACAGGGCCTAAACATTCTTCATTTGAGTTGCGGGTACATTTGTAATTTTAACTATGTGTAAATCTTGATTTCCATGTAAATAGCTTATTTACTGACCCTTTCAAAACTTTGGCCTATTAATTTTTATTTCTATTTTAGTTTAGTCTATTTCCCTTAATCTCCCTTATAAATTATAGGGGAACAAGTTTGAAAATAAATTGAAAAGATTTATGGGATAAAAAGTTGAATGGACTCCATTAGGCTAATTGATTACTCCCAATGGTCGAGGCGTCTCTGTCTCTGTTTAGTTATATCCAACCGATTAAATAAGGAAAAAGGATATATATACTTTTTTAAATTACAATATGGGTCTTGATTTTTACCAATTATTCTTCATTAATACATTTTTAATCAAATGTTACATTAGTCAAAATGATATTAATCAAGAGTAAGAGGTAAAAATCTAGATCTGTACACTTCTAAAAGTAATTTCGGTAAATTTCTCATTAAATAAAATAAAAGCTAGCTAATTGACAATGTTAATCCATGAACTTTGAAATAGTGACATTTTGATATTTAAACTTTTAGTTTTTACATATTGGTCTTTAAACTTCAATTTTTGAGAACTGTGGTCTTTGAAAATAAAGTTGATGATGTATTCTTTTTATAATATAACAACAATAATCGTGTGTTAATTGCGTGATAACTTCAAATTTTACAGAAAGAGTAATGTTATATGTAAATTTTTTTATTTATTACTATTTAAACATGTTGAAAACTATGACGTTTCGACTTATTTTGGGACTAATTTGTTAACATTAAAAGTTCAGGGGCTAAATTATCTCAAATCCATAATGCTCATAGTTTAGGGACTAATTTAACTTTAAAGATAAAAATTATTTAGGTTAAAAGAGACTTGGGAAAGAAAAATCCAAATTTTCTAAGCAATACTATTAGTTTTTTAGCTTTTCTTAATGTACAAATCTTCTAAGCAACTATTCTATATATATAGCTATAGTTTTAATGGTTACTTTAATATTTATCTATTAATGAGATTTATTTGTTTTAATTGTAAGATATTAATTTGACAGTTGTAATAAATTGGATAATTAATTAAAAAAATTTATGACAATTATCAAAATTAGATTCTTATCATGTCACGCCATCAAATTTCTATATAAATATATAGGCTAGTCTCACTTACCTCAGTTTACTTGTAACGTTGCATCACTCCGTTTGAATAATGACAATACAACAATCAATTGTTTCAAATGTAGATTTAATAACTCTACGAGATTACAATAATTGAAACATTAAAAGATGAAAAACTAGGTTTCATTACGAAGAATAGTAGGTTATTACGCGATTTAGTTCAAATAACGTGGAAAATAATTAAAGTACACAAATCAATAAAATTATTACATAACAAAATATTTAAGACCGTGCAAATAGTAACATTACGAGATAATAGAAATTACAACATGTTAGTCCCAATAAGTGTATCACTTATAAAAATAAAAGAATTAATGCTAACGACAACGTAGAAAAAATTAAAGTACATAAAGTGATAACAAAAAATAATAAATAATTATTACAAATGTGGATCTAATAACTCTATGAAATTAGGATAATCTTATACCTCACCCGTGAGTTAATCTTCAAAGAGACTATATATATATATAT